GCAAATCCTCCACCATGCACAATATATCGTTAAAGCGTCTAAGTGTTAAATCCCCCTTAACAATAAATTTATCCATTTCCGACATTGTAAATCGTTTTGTAAACAAATGCACACCTAGTCTCGAAATTGGTTTGAACAAAATTCTTCTTTTCAAAAGCTACAAAGTACCCACGTAAATTAAAAGGAAGAAGAATTTGAGCACGCAGAAAATATGCTTAGAACGAATCAAATAAAAAGACGGCCGCAATTCGAAACGACGGAAAGCACTTTTTGCTCTCCAAACTTTACACGTTTTTTGCTAACCTGTTCACGATAGCGAACATGTATTTAAAATTACTAAAGTTTGTGAATGACTATAAAAATCCAAAAGACTGATTCTGATTTGGGGAGAAGGACCAATATGTAAAGGGTTGGGGGAAGGTGGTTGTAAATCACCCTCAAAACTTAAACGGGAAAGAGCGGCAAGAAAACGGTAGGACATACAACACCCGAAACGGTTAATCACCCACCTTGATGGTTTCCCGCGTCGTCGTCTGCCCGGCCGGGTCTTCTTAGGGGTATTTTCTGGAGGGTTGGGGGTGGTAAGGACCACAACACAGCGCGGGGTTCTCGCGAACCGGTCACAGAAGAGAGCTTGTTTTTTCGTGTATCACACTACGGACGCTCACGCAAGTCTGTCTTTTCCCGCGGCTTAACCAAGGTTGGGTATGGTGGGGGTGTTGTATACACAGCGCGAAAATAAAAAGTTAACCCAAGGGAAAAAAATTATGAAGTTACCAAAAAATGTTATAAAACCCTTAACAATTATTATTATTATTATTATTATTATTATTTATTCCACTATTATCCATACAAAGAAAATAGAAAGTCTCTTGTACGAGGATCTGAAGTTCACGGTCACGACACTAACCAGAAATTGTTTACAACAAAAATGTTAACGATCATGTAATTTCAAGTATATTGGATGAATTGATTAGTGCAAAATGGAACTACACATGTGTAGACAATGCAGTCGACAAGGTCGCTCTAATACAAAAAAACAAATTAAAAAATATCTTTGGGTGAATGAAACCCTAAAACAATCATTGTTTGATCAAGATAGAGGGTGAGAAAGTTTATGCTAACAAGAAACAATGATGAATGGAAAGACTGTCAAGTTAAGCGGAATAGACCGACTTCAATACAATATAGTGAGAGGACAGGACCATAATAGATCTAAAGGAGATGGGAAAAACTGTGGCAGAAACATAGAGTTTGCCAACATATACTATGGAAAATATGAGGGGGATATAGAAGAAAATTTCAATAAACATTATACAGACAGTTTAAGGAAAATTTTAGAGAGTATTAACAATGTAAATAAGGATGGAAATATCGGATACAGTTTATTAAATTTCGAAACTATTAACTTACCTGAAATTACAAAAACTATGTATTGTTTTAAAAATAAAAGCCTTAATGATAATTCGCTAAATGTTAAGTTAGTGAAAGGCTTGTTTTGCGTGATACCTCCTTTTATATTTGATAAATAGTTCACTAAGTAGCGGAAAAATTCCAAGTGAATTAACAAGTAGTGTCATAATACATATACCTAAAGTTTCGAAACTACAAATTCTTGCAGAATACAAGCAAATTAATTTGCTACTAGTTGTCGACAAAATTATGGAAACAATCGTCTGTCAGCAGTTCAAGAAATACATTGAAACGAATTAGTTATTATTCGTTGGACAAGAATATTGTTTTTTTCACTCGCATTTCTCAGTCCTTGCCTCAAGATTCTAGTCTTCTACATTGTACTCAGGAAAGTGTATTAAGGCTACAAGTACAAAAAAATAAAGGAATGCGCAGTGAGAAACATGCTACAGGTTTATGGACTAAACGGTTGAGCAAAACATTAAAAAGACACATTTAATTTTTATTTACAAACTAGAAGACAGACATCTCACAACGTATTTAAATGCGCGTGGCAAAGTTACAATATTGACTCAGTTCGTAGTTTTTCTGCAGAAATCGTTATTTTTCAAAGTGATTCGTTTGTTTAATATTTTTTCATGGCTCGGCAATGTTACTTGTTACTCTTTGTTCTGACTAGCCAAGTGCTAAGTAAAGAGTTATGTTTACTGATGAAGTTAAAAGGAGTTAACATTTAAATTAACTTTAAACGAGTTTTTTATTAGTGAGTTTATCCAATTGGTGAAATTTCCAATTATAAAATGTTGGGTGTTTGTGATTTAGTGGCGTTCTGCGAATAATAATAATTATAGTTAACTGGACCGATTACTCTGGACGACGTGATTGACCTGATGACGTCGACAACGGAAAACTGGGACCTTGTGGACAAGTTCATAAGGGACATACTATTCAGAAAGAAGGCAGACGGCTGCCTAGAAGACTAACGAGATAACACGTGACGTGTTGACTGATACTGCACGGAGAAATACAGGAACGACAGATACGAACGCCACGTGGCACAGACACGCCCCCTAGCTAGAAATAATGTGAACAACAGTTCCCAGCTAGGTGGTGAAGACGAAGAGTTTGCTGGGTTTAGCCGGTAAGAATCCGGCACTCCCGACGGGTGCGCATCCCCGTCGGGGTCTTCCCATTATGTGGGACAGTCAGCACCCTAGAGCTGGTGTTTGGCTGATGTAAGATTCCCAGCATTATCCCTCGGAAAAAAAAAAGATAATAATCTCCTGAAGGATGCGTTTTCGAACAGATGTTCAATAACCATCATTAACGTTATTTTTTATTACTCTATTGGGTGTCAATAAAATTACTAGTCAAGCCATGACTCTGTCGAACAAATTGAATAAGTTTGAAATTTAGAGATGTTATATCAATAACATTTAACGTATAAAACAATTGAATAGCACTTTCCGCTATTCCGGAGAGATAAACTTTCTTATTTGAAATAAAACACCCTGTATATTTATATCTTTTTACGAGAGCTCAAATAATTTTGGAGATAATACGATACAAAAATAATAATAATAATAAATAATACAACAAAAACAAATAATATAAAATAAATAAGTCATAATTGAAATTCTCAAAATGTCCAATCGCATTTAAAACAAACTCTATTCCAATTCGCGCGAACAATTTTATTGGAATAGGTTGCTTTTATGACAATATTAATTTTATTCCTCAGTTTGGGGTTGTCTTTTTTTATACACGTTTACTTCAATGTTTACTGAGTAAAGATAATGTAATGCTGTAAGGTCAGCTAATCCGGCCGGTCACCTTATCAGGCCATTAGTGCCTATCCAGCCTGGGTTTTCATTTTAATATTTAGACATTAGAAATTATGAGTGAGAATTCCATCTTGTTGAAAGCAAACAGGTACATTTTCCACAAAATCGATCAATAAACAATCGCCTAAAACCTCAAGATTTACTCCTTCTTTCTGTTACGATTCATAAGTTACAAAAGTCGATTCTCCTAGGCAAGTCACCCTTATGCAGATGTTGGTGTATTTGGTATTTAAAGGATTTAAAAACCATATTTTCTAAAACTTTCCCTGTATATTCCCGACGTATTCCAATGGTATTGGTTCCCTGGTACACAAGGCACAGTATTAAGATATTATTTTCAGCCACTTCGCTTACAATAAAATTGTGATACTAGATAGTAGATGATAACCAATTAGAATACAAACTATATGTCAATATTTTCCAATTAATGTTTCAGCAGAAATACAGTCGATGTCACGGTCACCTATTTTAAATATTTTTTGGTGGGATACAATTTGAACTTAATTTGACTTTTAAATTTCAATCTCAAATATCTTAAGAAGTATTGAAGATCGATAAAAACGCTTTACTATAAAAATTATTCTAATTGAACACAGAATAGAAAAAAAAGGTATTTTAAACGACTTTCCATCGGAAGTCTTTGCGGTAAACTACCACAAAGTGCAATTTTCATTATACTTATGGTAAAAGCGAAAGAATGTTTTTTTTTCAATTTATTAAACGGTTTTCTATAAAAGTCTATTTGTCAACTTTCTGGTTAAAATATGTTTTATCTTATTAAAATTGAATGACAGAGTCTCTAGTTTGGCGAGTAATTTCATTGACATCCAGTATGCAGTCAGATATACTTAAAATAATCTGTGACGTCGATTATATTTTCCATTATTTTACAAAACGTATTCACGGAAGCATAAAAACAATTTTTTTTCAACGAGTTGTGAGCTTATTTTTATAAAGATTTAAACAACATATTACATTAGTTTTGCGTCAAAGGGATTTTTCAAGTTTGCAAACTTCTCTTTTAAGTAACCTTTTCTTTGTGGTTTTTTATTCATTTTGGTGGGTCTGGAAATTCCATATTTACCGCTTCTTAAAATAGATGTGCCCAAAAAACACCATCGACAACGCAATATCTGATTGTTATTTGTATTAGAATCATCTCAATGTTCTTGGACGAAAAAAAAAATATTGGGAGCCCTGTGTCTCTCTATATCCCCTTTTTCGCTATTTGCAATAATTTTTTACACTGATAAAACTTGAGCCTTGAGAAGACAACTCTATTGAAATTTATGCAAAAGTTGTGACCATAATATACAGGGTGTTCTGTTAAAAATAAGAAAGCTGGTATTTACCCTAGATGAACGGAAAACCTTATATAAGCCGGATAAATAAAAAGTACCTAAATATCTCTAAAACTGCTAATGCGGTGTTGTCAAATTTACCAGTTTTGCGTTACACGTAACAATTGTGTTATTTTAAATGGAATGCCCTATTTATAGCGAACTTTAGAAGTGTGTCTATGCAAGGTTACCAGAACTATCATATTATAGCGAAATCTGTTAGTACTTTTGTATTCCGCATGGAGATATTTAACCGTTCAGGTACTTGTTACTAAACCGAAATGGAAAATTATGAATTAAAAAATCTATGAAACTTTTCTCTTAACCTTTTTTTTCTATCGTTCCTAGTTTCTTAGGGAACTTTATTTCGGACGCCCTGTACAATGAATAGTATTCGTTTCAGGAACAAAACAATTTCACAGCCAACTACCAGAACGCAATCACACACACCAAACAAAACAATCAGCAAAACAAGACATTGCCGCGTCCTCCGCCGCTGCCAAATTTACCGAAGACTGACGTGCTCGATTCGCAAGGTTACTTGCTACCAAAGGAAATCAAAGAACCTGTGCAATACTTAGAGACTTTGCCGCATTGATCCAGGCTCGAGTAGTAAAAACTGTTTCACTGGGAGTGAAATAAGTTATTTGAATTGAAAATTGCGAATATTGTGCGGATGTGAGTAAATAGAAATTTAGAAACGTGTACTAAATACTAGTTGCCGCGGTACGGTCTTAATTTCGAAGTAACGTGGCGTGTTACAGTGATATTTCATTCCTTGAGGATTGAATGGGAGTGCTTTTGGAAAACGCGACTCGTTTTCGGGTAATTTTTAGGAACAGGGGCGATTGGAATCTGTTTTAAGTCAATTGGAAAGCTAATTCCCTATGTTAAAGATGGTGACCGAACTGGTAACAACCCATAACAACTTGAGTTTGTTGGGTGTTACTTTTAAGCTTTTCTCGTATTGTATATGAAAAGAACTCCGCATGAAATTTATACCCGAATTTATTGAAATTTTAGTATCATACAACGAAATATTGAGCTTTTATCCGTATTATAAAAAAATTGCTTATTCAGTAAAATGACAGTACAAATGAGTTTGTGTTAAACAATTATGCTCAACTTTCATTTAGTCGATACATCAGCTTTATGAACATATAAACACAAACATTTTTTGTGGAAATGAGTTCAGTTACATTGTAATTGATGTTTGCTCTGAAGTCTAAATGTTTTTCGGAACATAAAACATACAAATTTTCCGTAAGTATGTCTTTTTTCTAGATTTTAGGTATTCCACAGTCAGTTTTAGTTTTGACAGTAGATTTGAAGTTACTTGATGTCTAGATTAATTAAAGAATGGGAATTATATAATTCGGTATGAAGCTTTTAAGTTTATTGTCACAAATGGATAAGTTAGTTATGGTTAGTCATATCAACATTCAAATGATCCATTCCCACAGGAAAATTGTTATTTTGATATATTTGTAAAATAAAATTTTTTTTTTACTGACTTCGGTTAAACGAAACTTTTTCCAAGTATTATGCTTAACACTTAACCGACGGTTGCTAGCGAGAAGCTTTTACATTTCTTACGAGGTGCAGTCAATGTTCGAATTTTTGTTGGGTACTACTGAAAGCATCGCATAAAGCATACCAAAAATCTAAGTTTTAACCACTAGGGATAAGGTAATTTGCTAAAAGTTTCGATTTTTAATTTTAACACGTCAATATTGACATCGATATCGACTACGAGATTCATACAAAATTTTTAAAAAATATTTTTTTTAATTTTTCATGTAGTTTGCTTAATAAGCAGTTTTTTCTTTCACTCATAAATCGTTTTTTTTTCCAATTTTTGACAACCAACATCTCAAAAATATTTGTGCGGGGTTCTAGGTAATCAATTGCCTTAAACACAATTCTAATGACATCGGAACCAAGAAAGTGCACGAAAACGCCGTGGATCTTAAACATACTTCATCTTCAGCTTAGAGCTCAACCATGTTTTAGAGGAGAATATAATGGCGGTTAAATAAATACTAAATTATTCCTTATCGGATAAATTTGGTGTGTCCTTGTTAATTTACATACAAAAATATCTCCGCATGGTGCTAAGATACTTCCATCAATTTTTTTAAAGCTTCCAAATGTTTGCCTGTTGTTTTTTGGGATTCATAACAATTCTTGAAAATATCAAACCACAGTTCATTAATATCACTAAAGTTTTTACTGACATATATTTTACAGAGGAAACTTTCAATTTTTGTAGCTTCAAACTCACAAGAACCGAATGCTTTCTGGGCGTGCGTTTTCGTCTTCTTCTAACAAAAAAATCTATTTTCTATTATTTTTTCTTAAAGCTTTTACAAAGTCTGAGTGTGTGCGGTGCTCTGGGTCGGATATTATATAATGACTAGTATATTGGGCCTTCTATCGTCCAACATCTTCAACAATAAATTTACACAGTCTGCTTAGAAGGTGGTAAAGTAAAGTACATACACTTAAGTTGTTATAAATTGGCAATATGTTTTCTGCCCTCTTTTGCAGAATTTTTAAAAGATTTGGCTTAACACTTCTTTGGGTACTCTCTCTTCAAATATCAAGAGTTTTCCAAATAATTCTTAATAAACTTGTGTCGAAGGCCTTGGTTCTGCTATACAGATTTGCCAGTCGACAAATTGAATATTTCCTCTTCCTACCAGACGGGTTAATAATATTTTATTAGTTTTTGTAAAAATATGTGACCTTAAACAATTAATTATCATCATCTGTTTTAATGAAATCTAGAGTATTCACCATAATAGTTTTTAAAGAAGTTCGCAAAGGATGACTTACTGTCTATTCTATTTATTAATTGTTTTTTCTAAGGTAAGAGAGGGAACAGGTCGAGAAAATGATATTTCTGTTCGTCTTATTGAGAACCCGTGGTGAGTAGTAAAAAAGGTTATTATACGCGATATAATATGCGATTATACCTAAACTTTTTTGTAGAAAAGGTAAGATAAGGTCTAACTAACCGAAACTAACCAAAACATTCGCCTCTTTAGGGTTTGAAAGAATTTTCACTGATGTGCAAACTATAAAAACTGAAAGTCCTCTCTAGGCTAGGTATTTCTTATGTTCTGTGATTTCTAATTTGGTATCACATATTTCTTATATTTATCTTCGGCTTGTTATTATTTTCAGTTAATAACTGATTTAAATGTAATTAGGTATTGCATATTAGATATGTATCAATCAATTATAAATGTATATGTTATGCAGTATGCGCACATGATAGCTTTTTTAAGCGCTAAAGTGGATTGATGTATTCCGTTGATTAAAATTTCTAGTACTTTATAGTTATAATCGGAAATGTGAATAATTTTTTAGAACATTGAAAATATGGTTGCAGCATTTTAATAAACTTGGGTTCGTTAAACAGGGCTTCGCCTAGGTTATCATGTGCGACTCGATGGCAGTTGCTTACTTGAGTGGGGTTTTCTGACATAATCGCAAAAAAGTATATTTTCACCAATTAAGCCCCCATCTCGCTATTTTTATCATAACCTAAAATATTAAATTATTAAATTATTTATTATTTATTAAGCCAAATGATATTTAAATTGAATTTCGTTTCGTTCGCACAAAATTACCTACATTACTTTTGATATCATTGTCTACTTTCAATAAATGTATTATTTTTAATATTTTTTTCAGCAACTAACAAAAACTAATAAACTGTTACATCACCAATTTCATTATTTATTGAATTATTTAAGTAGTAAATGTAGTAAAATGTACGCAAAACTATAGGCATTAAAAGAGACTTTCACAAGCAGCAAATGACGACATGAAAAATGCGGAGTGTTTGGTATATATATTATAGTATATAGTGGCCCAACTTCGGTAAAAATTGATGGGCCTTAAGCGGCTATGATTTTTTCGTAGAGAAGCGAATACTTTTCAATGCATATATTTCACCCACTAACCTCCACTTTGCGTTATGTTCTTTCAGCGATATCCCCACACTTAAGCACTTTTTTAGTGGAGATTAGATGGGGGATATTAAAAAATACGTGGTGAACCTAAGTATTTGAAAACCGGTAAGCATGTCAAAACGTAGTAATGTCAGCTAAGATAAATAATAAACATTTTGTTTTGATTCTAAATATCATGTGGGATCCTAAATAATAACTTGAAGCTTTATTTCATAATTTGAATTAATATGTTCTTTTCTTTATATGTTAGGTTAGGATAAAGATCTTGTGATGTAGTTTTCAGTTGGCCCATGTTTCACTGTCTTATACCGTACTTAGTTTGGTTTACTGGGACACCCGAAATATTTGAAGTTTATTTTCATATACTTTCTTAAACTTACTAAAAATTGAAAAAAATGAAATCGTCATGTTAGTGTATTTAGTATTAAAAAAAAGGTGAATGTGTATAAGGTCGCCTCTTTAAAAAAGTTGTAGATTTCTAAATATTTAATTAATTTTAATTATTTAATTATTTCAACTAATTAAAAGACAATCAAACCCTACAGAAACCTCAGTGTTGTGAGTTCAAATAATCAATATTTGAGAGTTGTATGGCACCTAATTTTAGTCATTTTTGATCGTTATTTAAATACGCAAATCTATAAAATAAAAAATAATGATGAAAATGCTAATAGCAAATAAAAACAAATTAAAAGATTAATTTATTTATTTTTAATAATGAATTTTTAATAATAAATTGTATCCACCAAGAAATTAAATTAATTGAAATTATTTCTGCGTTAATAACTTCATTACCGGGATAACATTTATAAAAAGTTGTCAAAAGACAATAAATAGTAGGTGCCAACGTTTTACTCTTAAGATTTCGGAATATACTACTTTTCCAAGTCACTCATTAGGTTGAGTCGAGTAACTAATACAGCAGATTGTTGAAGACTGACCAATTTTACTAATAATTGAATTATTTAAGTAGTAAAATATGTCTTGATCTCTCTCTGTCTTGATAAATAGAAATAATAAAAATATTAATATTACTTTATTGCAATACATTAGATCATATCACGAAAGGCGAAGTTGATGTTACACTTCCTCATTTGCAATATTATTTATTTTAAGAGAAGCTCATGTTAATGTCATTACTTCTGACAGAAGAACTGTTTTATTCATTTTTAAATTGATTTTACACATTCTGCTACATAATTACGTCAATAGTTAATAAAATTAGTTACTCACCAATAATTGATTGCGGTGATAAACTTAATGATTAAAATCAATTTTTAGTTTTAAAATAAGTGGTAATACCAAAAATTTGAAAACAGCAACCCGTATGTATAGTGATTTTTTTCCAAAAATTTAACTTTTTTAACTTTGATTTGTTTTTATTCATATTTTTCGTTAGGATAAATGTATTGAGATTCGATTTTCGCCCTTATTTGAATATCTAATGACATAAAAAAGTAATATCCCTGCACTTTATTTCTTTTAGCAATTTTTTTTTGTGATTATGTCAGAAAACGCCACCGGGTGGCAAGGTAAGCAATCTAAATCGTGTCACGATTGCTTTTGAAAATCCCTTTTTAACGACTCCAGCTTTATGCATTAACGGTTTTTGTAGGTATGAACATTTGTTTAAGAAAATGTGTAAAAATGTGTAAACAATGTGTGTAAATGTGTTGCAGTTTTCTTGCACAACAATGAGCAAAAATCCTTTGAATTTGCCTTAGCGTTCATATAGAACTCACCTTAACCATGACTTTTTGTAGAAACCGAATTTTAATAAGACCTAAGGAAAAAATTCCTCCCCTGGGGTCCATTTCAGAAACTCGAAAATAATTTCCAGCATTTCGTCTCGGTCGAGTTACATAATAACATTTTTGTTTTTTACCTCGTTGCCCTTACCACAGCTCTATTCTTCTTATTTACTTTAAATAAGCTTCCAAAAGTACAACTTTTTGGATTCTTAAGGGGTTGTCGAATCTTTCCTCGTTTTTGAGCGAAAATATGAAAATCATCAGAATTGACAAAACGTTCCTTTATGAACTTTTTTTTTAAATTACTTTATATGAATTTAATTTTTCTAAAAACCGTTTTTTAGATATTGAACACCCTGTACATTGGAAAGCATTTTCGGACCTAAGTGTGTTTGA